ACGAGCGTCGGTGCAGAGCAATACCAGAGCTACCGGGGTACGGAATCGACGTTGACGGTCGGCCAGGGAGGCGAAGAGAGGAGGTGGTGGTGGAGGTGGGGGGATGAGGTATCGGCCGTACGTCCCACCTTTTATCGACTGTCTGCATCTGCATACGCGAGACTCACGCACGGGCCAGGCAGCTCCGCGATGGACCCCGCTGTATCCATCTCGGACGGGCGCCGCTCGGGGCGGTCTCGAGTGACGACTTACGCATGTGCACCCCCGAGCGCAGAACATCGGCCGCGATGGGCTCCGCACAGCGCCGTTCTGCGGCCGCCTCGACGCACAGCACGCATCCCAGGCCGTCTACCCACGCTCGCCACCGCGCACGACGTCTCCACGCCGACGTGCGCATCTCGCCATCTCGTCGCGCGGAAACGGACGCAGGCGTACAGGGCCAATAACGCACACGGAGCACGCCCCACCTGAAACGCGCACGAGGATGCGTGCAGACGGAGACGGTGCGTGTGCGCCGCGTACCGTGTTGGCGGCAGGAGGGGCGCGCGTATCACGCCCGTGCTGTGGGTCCAGGTCCGCCGCGCGCGGGCGAGCCGACGTCGTCTGCATCTGTATCCACGGCCGCTTGGCCCCACTTCGAGGAGGCGAGCGCGGCGGGCCTTCGATCCGCGGAGGAGGCGGGTTTTCGATGTGCGGCCGGCTGGTTCAATTTTTGGACGATGCGGCGGTGATTTGCCATCGTACGACGGCAGCGACGAGAGGATCTCGAGAACCTGCTTGCGATACGAGGGCCCGTTTCCTGGACGGCGATCGTAGTTCGTACGTGACAGCACCGTCGTCATCAAACGCTCTGCCTGTGCAGCTACCGGACAGCTCCCCCGGCCGACTCTGTGTCCATCCCGCCCTGCACCTTCGACCGGACCTCGCAGCAGCAGGCGGGCCCGGGCACTCGTACGACGGGATATGTGGGATGGGACGGCCTCTAGCGCGTCCGCCAGTCAAGGCAACACTGTGCCGGCTCGTCTGCCCCCTGCGTCGTTCAGGCCACCCCACATCCGCGCGATTGGCTGACAGTTCGAGGCCGCCATTGCCGCAGGAGAGAGGCGGCGGTGGATACGACCTGCGTGCTGATCGGACGGCGCTTCATGATCGGTGGACCACAACGTCGTCGGGGCGTGCCCCCCCGCCCGGCAATGGCACCAGCGGCGGACGTTTGCGGGCGGCGCGCGTGTCTCAGAAGACGTTACACAAGTGTCCATCGGCGCCCGTGCCTCGACGCGCCGGGCTTCCTATCTGGAGGCAGGTCTATTTGTGCTTGGCGGCGCGCCGGACGTTTCGGGTGAAGCACCGACCTAGGCGATACGCCGTCATGTCCGAATCGAGCGCGGGCGGATTCGCCTGGTGGGACGGGTTGCGACGTGCTGGGATACTTCGAGCTCGCCCCTGGCCGTGGTGAGTACATCACCGCCTCCTCGAAACAACTGCCAGAGCGGCTGATCGTGTCGGAAACCCGCGCAGATCGCCTATGCAACGTCGCGTTGACAGTTTGCGTGTGCCTGTGGGTTCCGGCTCGTACACACTAGTGTCACACGAGCTGAACCCGGCCCCGAGTTCTACGCACATCCCAGCCTCGGACGCTGTAGGAAAGCTTGCTCGACGAGCGGCGAGTCCGATACAGCGTTTCCGCCATACGACAGGACGCACCTGTACCGCGCTATGTAGCTAACGTACGACGACGGCAGAATCCACGCACCTTCCATATCGTAGTCCAGGACTTGTTGAGTGTTGCGGCGGACACGACTCGTGCGCCGGGTCCGCGCCGACGGCAATGTGCGCACGAGGCAGCGTCGAGAGAGCCGTGTACGACGAATGGGAAGCACAGACATTCGTGCGCGCACAGGACATGGCTCGGGCCGCGACCGCGTCTCTAACGCGATTCTCACCCCGTGCGTGGCATCCTCGAATGCGTCTGAGGTGAGTGCCCGTGTTGTCTCGCTCTCCTACGTCCCTAGCTCACGGCGAACACGTTTGACACAGCGAAAGCCCCGCGCAGGTCGCGGCACAAGGGCTGGCATGCTCGACGAAGCCGCGGGCGCGACCGATTAACTCGTCCGCCCCAAAGCGCCATGAAGCACGTTCACCAGGCGGGGAAACACTACTACACCTGCACGGTGTTTGCGACGTTTGGCGCGCCCTATTCGCACTCCATTCAACCTCGCTCATAGCTACTGCGCCGTGTATCCGAGTCTTGACTCTCTCTCTCTCTCTCATGCATGTAGATTACCAGCGCCCCTGGTACACCAAATTCCGAGACGCACCCGTGCCTACGACCGAGCCGCATCCGCGGAGAACGAAGGGTGCGTCTCTATCTGACACATGCCATATGCTGCACTCTGCAGTGCGGCAGCCCGTCGAGACCGTCCAAATGCGCCGCACGCCACGGCACATCGTTCACGTTCTCCGGGGTGCATGGCGCACTGCTCGATTGGCACCGCACGTTGCTGACTCTTGACGCAGTGCGCGAGACGCAGAATGTCAGTCGCCGTTCTCGCTCGGGTGCGTCCAAATACGCCCAATTCCAGCTATCTCGCGGCGAGATGTCCGCGAAAACATCCCAGATGCGCCGTTAGACGCACCCCGAGCCCTCCACGCTCGTAGCAGTTTGTGGCGGCGCGCTCAGCGCTTGCGTCCGGTGCGTATCTAGCTCATGTGCGCGTTCACGCCGCTGACTCCGCCATACTCAGATGACATGAGCACAGAAATGCGGACAATGTCCGCTACGGCGCTCGCCTCTGTCTCAGAATACGCCCTTCATCTCGCGTGGGCACTCTCAGCCCTTGCGGACGACGCTGACGCTGTACGAAGACGTCGACCACGCGGGTGCTGCACGGTGCCCGTGCCCAGGCCGACATCCTTGTGGACGATCTCGCGCTCCGACGACACACTCTGGGACTTTCAAACCAGGACGATACGTTCCCATGAACCAGGGTGCATGTCCCCCGCGCGTTTCGTCGCGATCCGAGGAGGTTTGTTTTCGCTGATTTCGACCGATTTCATGTGCAAGAACAGGAAAACGACAGAAAATCTTGCGTCCCGCCACGCTCCCGTCCCTTAGCGCTCCAAGATTTGGCACACACGACCCATGGCACCCTCGGTACCAGCCTGCGTTGCTTCTGGGCGCGCCCGGACACTTTGATTTTGCTCGTCTCGCGACATGACCGTATTTCTGGCGCGGAGCCAGCAAGCACCGGACACGACGGCAGTAAGCGGCGCATGTCGGCGACGCTTTCGATGCATCGAACGCAACACAAGCGCGTATAGGAACGCTACGCGCGGCGCGAGAGATGTACGGAACGGTGCGCGCAGGGATTTCGCTGTTCCGCTTGTGCCAAGGGCTCACATTTGCCCAGATTCGCGAACCGCGTATACGGCGGCACTCGTCGTGGAAACCCGTGTACCGCATCGTAACGAGCTTGTACCGTCCCCTGTGCGCACTACGGGCGCGTGGACTCTGGAACGGCGCCGTCGCGGGAGGGTGCTTGGGCGATCTCGCCCTCAGTGATGGATGGCGCCGCCGTCATGTTCGACCCGCCTCGACTTGGACGGCCCTGCGGTGCGAATGCTTCAATATATCGCATTTTGGCTTTACAACCGCGGGTACAAGCTATACAATGGGGCGGGACAGATGGAAGAATGGATCATATCATAGTATGTACCCTGCACCGTGCCGTGCCTGTTCCGCAGACCGCTCTAACGGTGTAACCTGCCATAGGACGCACGCAAACGCGCTCGGACGCTTTGCTCGAGACGTCGGAAGGCACCCACGGCCGCGTCTTGCCCTCGGCACGATAGGCGACGCGCTGTTAGGGTGGGATGCGAAGCCGTGCAACCTGCGCACCCTCGCGCGACCGCGATGCTGCATGGCAGCATCCGCAGTGCCTGGTGCACGGCCTTCATAGGCGCGTTCTTCCTTGCCTCCGCGTCGGATCCGCTATTCGGTGTCGACCGAAGAGGACAGCCCGCAGTCTCGAAACCAATCAAGTCGCACTTGCGCGCCCGTGTGCAGACACTCCCGCGTCTGCTACGCGCTGGGAAGCTGGGGTCTTGCTCATCCAGAGGATGATAACCACAGCCGCTACAGCCGACTTATCAGTATGGTGCGGGAGTATGACGGTGGGAGTCATGGCCGCGCTTAGCTGGTTATATCGTCCACTCTGATGGCCCCGACCAAATCATGATTTTTTGCCTTCTGTACATACCCCATTGTCAGATACAGCTGAGGCAAGAACAACTTACGGAATACGTGTCTGCGCCGCGACCCATATTTCTATCTACACGAGCCTATTTCTATTTACACGAGCCCGAATTTATCAAGTGGACTCACACCTGGTGATGCGAGTTCGTACCGTCTGCTTGGCGTCCCACCATTACACACGACCGCCCAGCGAGATGCGAGATGCTGCGCGCGCGGCAGGAGGGTGGGGTCGAGCCGCGGGCGGAGGCGCTCTTCTAGAACACTCACATAGCTCAAGTGAATTGCATCACCACAGAGCTCTTAGAATACAGCTCGTGGGGGAGACGACGCCACGTCGGACGTCAGGATCGCTCGCCTAGTGATCGTCTTCCGAGGGACACCACGTACACTCATTCTGTCTCAGAACTCACACCAGATGTGTGGTCGCTAAGCGCTTCGGCCGTTGAACGGCGCCGGAACTGTATCCAGGGGCGCGTGCAATGAGATGCGAGGCAGGCTGATGGAGAGGAGGCCCGACGTCCCGGCGAAGGCTATGGCTAGCGATGTCTTTGGAGAGTCGGCGGGCTTGGGCGCGTGGGGATGGACGCGAACCTGCCATCAGGATTTACTGAACATCGCCTGTCGGTGTCAGGAAACAGCACCGTATTTGGATTCTGGTGTCCTCGAAGTTATATCTGTTATGATCTAACGGTACAGTCAATGGTGAGCGTAGGCCTTCTATGAGACGAGGAAACACTCGCATTGTCTACTGCACAGCTCCGTGCACCGAAAACCGTCGCCTTGGTGCTCACGGCCGGACTCGCCTATATGGCACTACTCAGGTGGATGCGGTTATGCAAAAAACCGGAGGCCGCACGTAGCGATGCTGACGCGAAGATCGCCAAAGCGCAGGGGCAAAGAGATTCTTCTGGTAAAGGATATCCGCCGCTTAGCACGTCTCCCGAGTTTGACACACCAAACGGGACGCTCACTCTCGTTTGCAGCAACCCTGCCTATCTGTGATGGATCCGTATGTCTGGAGCCACAGGCGTGTCCTGTGATGTGCCATATGTTGTATGAAGGACCGACCGAAGTGCCTTCGCAATTCTGGGGACGCACTCACCACCCTCTGCTCGTGCTCTCCGTTCGTTTCTCACCCCCTTGCCCCCTTGCCCCGGCCCATCTCTTTCTGCATTTCTCCTCCACTTGTGTGCACATTCTTCCCCCACTTGCAGACCCTATCCTTTGATAGGTAAGTTGACATCGCTGTCTGATGATTTAGACTTCACTCACATGTGCCCGCCTGCAGCCGTAAGGCATCCTAATTTCGGCTCTGTTGTTCTGCGCATGGTGACCCCTTGCCTGCGGCTGCCCTCCGATTACATCATTCTACTGTAAGCAAACTATTTTCATCAGTTCTGGCCACCGTCCATGGAGTTGCACTGTGCTCACCGAACTGAGAAGGCAGCATGACTCGCCGGCGCCGTGTAAAGTCTGGTTTCCACGCGCTTGGAGACACTGCCCGCGGCCAGTACGCACGGAAGGAGATGCAGATGCGGGGCGAGGTACGGAAAGGGCTGAAGGAGATACTGGGTGAGCAAGTCGTCGGCTCCGGAGGCGCAGGTGGCGCATGCTCACATACTCACCAGTGACGCGTGTCGGCAACGTGGACCCTAAGGTGTCGATGCATTGGACCGTGAGCGGCCTCTGCCGCAACATCTACCTTCGCCACCGCCTCAAACTTGTCGGGTGGCCGAAGGGGATCGCTTTCGGTGACTTGAGCAAGACGGTGACCGGGCTGGACCGGATCTCGATACTCGTCCAGGCGCTGCGGAGCGGCGACCTTACGTTTGAGCCTATCTCGCAGGCCGAGTACGATGCCGCTAAGCAGAATCCTCTGCTTGCGGCGCCCACTCACCTGAACGGAGGCCTGAGGCCGCATCCGAGCCGCAACGACACCGGGAGGCGGCGGGGCAGCAGCAAGGTCGACCCAGCAATCTACCCACCTCGACACGTGCGAGATGGGCCAAAGTCGTCGAAAGTGGTGTCGGACGAAGCAGAGGCAAGGGCGGAGGGACCGGAGGAGCCGCACGAGCTGTTCAAGGGCGGGCAGCTGTATGCGGGGCTGCGTCCTGGCCGATTGTGCATCTTGAACTGACAGCGATGGGCGTTCACGCAGATCAAGAAATGTTCTACTATACATTAGACAGATGAAATACGCCGTTTCAGAGCGAACAAGAGGCGGCACACCAAGAGAGGGATGCCGCGGCCGCAGGAGGTGGTGGTGGAACGAAGGAAGACGCACGCGCGCATTCCTAATCGGGAAGAATTCATCGCAGCGGTGCACTCACATCCGGCGTCTATTGCATCTCTCTTCTCCCGCACTTCGTACATCACTCATTCGAGCCTTTCCCAGTATCGCTAGCGTTGTATTGGCGATATCAGCACTTCGACAAGTACGTGCCATGTCTGAGAAAGGTTATGGCAGGTGTGCTGGGCTACGCGGTGCTGCGGCGGCCGTTCCGATGGTGACAAATTGAGTACTGTCGGGAGGAACCAAATCGGCTGCACACAGCGCCGATTTGGATGCGACAGCTGCGCAACAAAATGGTGCAGTGTACGAGATGTTCTGATGGCTACCCGAGTGACCCGTCCAGCCCCATCTGTGTTGGGTTGGGTGACTATCTCGAGGTGCAGTGTGTCTGCTCCTCAAGGTGTTTACCCACCTTGCTCACAATGTGGCTGCTTGCGAGGGCGTAAACCTTTGTGGCCTGGGCGTAAGACTAGCAAGGGTGTGCGATCATAAGCTAAGATTAGAGTGGTGTACAGCCCAAATGTTAAGCGAGCGTGCAATTCAAGCGAGCGGGTAACATTTTAGCACAAATGGACATCAGAAAATTACCTGCCAGCCCGACTGAACACACTTGGCTGCAAATCAACAGGTCCCTCTCACGCCTCAACCGACTTAGGTACAGGCGGGTTGCTGGGATGAGCTGGTATAGCCTCTCTTGCCCGGCATACTCCCGTCTCCCCCTCCGTCTCCCCCTCCTAACCTGTCTCCCCACCCCGCCCCGCCCTGCCCTTGCATTGACCAATGCCTGCTATGGCTATGTATACTGCAAATGGTGAGTACCGAGCACCCCCGCCGCTGTGCGGATCAGCACACTTACAAGTTCAAACAACAAAAATGTCAGCTGTACGTGGGGGCCAGGAGGATGGTGCAAGCAGATGACATCGGTGAGAGCACATTCTT